TCAGGTTACCTCCCAACAAACGTTTGATTTAACGTCGTTGCACGACGCCATCACTTTCACCACTTTTCCTTCCACCTTGAAGATATGAATTGCGCCCCCAATTTTGCATCAATTTTTCTGTCACGTTGATGGGGGCGGTGGTGTAAAAATAAAGGAACCAAGCAATAGATATCGCATCTTGCACTTCTTGGCCTTTAAGTAAGGAATGTTGATTTGCCTCCTTGGTATGGTAAATTTCAGAATATAAAAACTTTGTTCCTCATCCATTGACTCCTCCATATGCTCGACTGGATCAATTTCCATGTCACTAACCAAACACAATGTTGAAAAGTGTTTAGAATGAGGTCCAACACGCTCCAACTCCATAATTGCATTATTTTTGACATCCTCTATTTTGCACTCTTCATCAACCTTGGTATCATGAATAATATTTTGGTCGAATAGTTGGAATTCCTTTTTCCGCTCCTCAAGCTGGCCAATATCTACAAAAATTGGTTGTAGGGCATCAGACGCCTCAACCTTTTTATTCAATTGATCATGCACGTCATGGATATTTAAGCCAAATTGGTCTATCTCTTGTATGAGCTCAGTTCTTTCGTCTATCAACTGTTCTATCATATTTGAAAGACCACCACGGAGAAACTCATGAGATTTTATCAGTTGAGTGTGTTCCTCTAGTCAAGATTGGCTCACTATATCTGCTTCTTCTAAGTTATCTTCTGGTGGGAACTCATTCTCTTCAGCCATTTCCTCTGCCTAGGCCTTCATTCTCATGATTGTTGCACTAATTCTTTGTATAGCCTTTCGATTTTTATCTTGTTGCTCGGTTACTTGACTCATCATCATGTCACATTGCTCGGCTATTTGCCTCATCTTGTCCATAATACGAGCCACGTTTTCCATATCCGCCACTTCATTGCTCCTATCAAACTCATGAACATTATAATAAGAACTCTGAGAAGGATAGTAAGAATTAGGATAACCATCCCAATGGTCACCTTGACAACCACACACATTATAAAAATTCCACACATCAGATTGGGATGGACAATTTTGCCCTAAGTGTGGTTCTCCACAATATGGACAAGGATCACCATAATAAGAATAACCAATAATCGACCAATTATCATTCCAAGATGCCATGTCAACAAAGATAATCAAAAAATAAAAACTTGAATAGGCAAAAAGTAAAAATCCAATCTAGTAGAATAGTTGATTTCTAAGTTCCCGGCAACAACGCCAAAAACTTGTTGTTCCCAAACGCACGCGCAAGTATACGTGGTCGACAAGTAATATATGATTGTAAGTCCAGATATCATACCCACAGGGACTTGTGATTAACTATCAACTAAATTAAACCAAACAATTAATCTATTCTAAAGAATCCTAAAGTATGAGTATTGAACTAAAATTAATCTAGAGTAACAAACTAAGAGATTAAAGAAAACAAGTTGGCGAATTATATAGACGAATTCAATGTGAGAGAATATTCTAGAGCTATGGGTTAGCTAACAATCCCGTTGAGTTTTTCACTTAAATCGTCTAATTAATTTATCTAGTTTATTGATTGACGGATTAATATTGCTCGTAGCCTTCTCCCGAAGTACAACTCGCCTATTCAAGCTAACCTAACGCCTATATTCCTATGGAATTAGGATTAACAAGAATGCATTTACAATTCCCGTATAGTAACCAAGCAGGGCGATTAGGTATATTCCTATCCTAACCGCAAATCCGCCTCCCTTAGAGTTAAGATCTTGCTCTACTCAATCTTATATGTAATCTAGAATTCCCTCTCCCGAGTTCAATCCTAGATTCATAGATAGTATTCAATTGGTGATCAAACAATCAAATAATTAAGTGCAAGATTGAAAAAATAAACCAATATGATGAAATAATAAGAACAATTCAAGCTTCAAGCTACAATGTTCATGTGGCACCCAAAACTCTAGAACTAAGAAACTATGAGATTAAAAGAAGAGAAGAGAAGAAAAACTTGTTAGAAGCCTCATCCAAGCGTGGTGTGTGTTCCCCCACGTCTCCTCTCCAAAATAGTCTCCCTAGGTCTAAGATGTGTTAAAAGTCTTCAAAATAGCGTTTTACATGTATTTATACCAAGTAGTGTTGGGCCCATACGAAACAGCCTTTCCTGCACAAAATAGGACTCTGGCTCTGTAAAATTTGTACATGCGAGCCGCACCCTGCATTGCACAGTGCGACGCGGTAGTGGGAAACTTCAGAGAGCTTGTTTCTGATTCCTGTCATGAAATTGCACTACTGCGGCTCACCCTGTGCCGCACTGTACAGTGCGATAGTGAGAATTTGCGAAAATGCAAAACATAAAAGTTGTAGCCCTTTCAAATAGCTTTCCAACGATATATTGCGGAACCCAAACGCCGTTCTGAGCGAAAAGTTACGTGCATTCTACTAGACAATGCACCGTATGCCTGGTCGATTCTTCGTTTCATTCTTAACTATCATCCATTGATCCCCGAATACGATCCCGGCTTAATTCCTTGGGCTTTTACTCAGACTTCAAAGCTCCAAATCACTTGAATTCATTCCATAATGCCTACATAGATCGGAATCACTCCTACAAGACATAAAAATACATATTTAGTGCAAAACACTAGTGATTAGAGCTCAAACTCAATTAAAGTGCAGTAAAGTATAGTATAGTAAATGACTAAAATACGCAATTATAGCTTATCATCAGTAAAAATAGCACGGGCTAGCTAGTTTTTGGACTAATCATTCAAAAATAGCCAGCATTCATAAAGCCATTGAAAAATAGCCACTATTTTGCTGCAACACGGAAAGTTCCAGCATAATATACTGGAGATCAGTGCACTTGTGTATGAACTTCCAGCATATTATGCTGGTACTCCAACACGCGGAAAGTTCCAGCATAATATATTGGAGATTGGAGCACCCATGTAGGAACTTCCACCATATTATGTTGGACCGGTATATTATACTGAAACTCCAGTATATTATGCTGGGAGCCCAGTATATTATGCTGGGAGCCCAGTATATTATACTGGAACTCCAGTATATTACACTGGAACTCCAGTATATTATACTGGAGTATTTTTCGGTTCAGATTTATCTTTACATGAAAAGTGTCTAAATTTCGATTACTTTTGAAACTGTGGCTATTTTTGAATGGCCACTTGTAAATCTGGCTGTTTTTTAATTTCTTCCTAATTATTACGGTGCTGCGGACTGGGTTATTAAATATTTAGTAGGCGTTTGGACATAAGCATTGTAAAATTTGAAAAAATGGTGAAAATGGTATTTGAAATTTAGAGTTGTGTTTGCACATAAATTTCAGTTTGGGTTATTTTTGAAGTTTTGTGAGTGATTTGAGGGAAAATTTTAAAAAATAGCTTTTTGCAATTTTTTAAATTTTCGAAAATTTCCAAAATGTATTTTCAAATGCAAATTAAAAATTTTATGAACAAACGTTGATTTCGGGAAAAAATATTTTTTGGAAAAATATTCTATCAAATTTTATGTCCAAACGGGCACTTAATCTCACTAAATAATTGTACTGTACTTAGGTTACTAGTATCTACCTACAGAAATGATGAAATGACAAATACGTCCACCAAAGTGACGACAGTTAGAAGTACGAAATTGACCAAAATCTTTATCTTTCCTACAGCTTTTACCACTTCACTATGCTCGAGATCTTGTAATCCACTAAGTCCCTTTTAACTACCACATGACATGCCCAGCACGCCAACTAAAATTTGGGCCTTATTTTTATACAATTCATGGGTCGTTTGAATGACGGTATTAGAAAAAATAATGCAAATATTAACTCTATGCATTATTAATATTTTATTTAGTATATTTTTTTAATTTGTGTATAATTAATACTTGCATTAGTTATACATTATATTTGGTATTGTCCTTTGTATAAGTAATGCATAGAAAATCATGGCATTAGTAATACCAAGATTATTAATGCATGCATTAGTATGGTTATAGATAAAATTGTCCTTATAGTCCCTTAAAGCTAGAGAATATGGAGGGCATTTTTGTAAGCATCTATTTTTTAAAAAAATTATGCAATGCATTATAATTTTAATACACCACACCAAACAGTAAATAAGAAATAATATATGCATAACTAATGATTGGATTACTAACACATGCATTACTAATACACTTTATTCCGCACTATTCTTATACACCCTACCAAACGACCCCTTAGTGCTTGAGGGATCTTTTTCATGGTTTCATACTTTTCGTCTCATGTTTTTCTCATATCACATCATATATGATCAAATAAAATCTGAGTGCTTTGTTCATTATAAACAATAATTTATTAAATTTAATACAATAAAATAAAAATTAAATGATCATCCTCAAAATTATCTCTCGTTTTGATTGTTTGCCTTCCAATTTTCGCTTACATCTAAGTAAACTCTTTGGTTATCGCTGGATTCCAACCTAGGTAGGATTGTGTGTCTCACGCTCCTTCAAGGAGTTGAGGAGAGTAGAGTTAAGCGAAACATATTTATTTCTGAAAAAGCTACACATACAGAAACGACATATAAGAATAGAAATAAATAGCAAAATTGAGTTAATTTAGGAGACGAAACTTAAAAGAAAGAAAATCGACCAAACCCAAACCCCACTTCACAAAAATATGTGAATTCTGTGTTTATATCAAATCATATTAAATTACTAAGTGATATAATAAGGTGATAATATTGTTAATTGACTATGGAAATAGAAGTTTATGTGCACACGCATGTATAATATGTGTTTGATATAAACATTGGTGCCAATATATTTTTTCTCAATCTCCTCTCTCTCTATCATCAGACCAATTAAGGGGCATATCTGTCATTTTAACATATTGAGTTTAAGGTTCACATCATCTGTCCCTCAACAGAAAACGACTGCAAGCAACCTGTGGTCTACCTGTATACATATCACATTCACATTAATATATGCATCTTTGATTTATTTCTTTAAAATAATGTGATCGTGTACATAAAATATGCAAAACCATGTCTGGCTCTATATAAATGAGCAAGAGGCAAGAGAGATGCAAACGCCGCCTCAAGGGCGTCTTGATCGGTTGCCTAAAAAAAATTGGTTTTAGTCTTTGTTTTCCTTCCTTTAATTTAGACTTCAAATCAGAGAGATTGAAGAATTTGAAGAAAAAGAAAATGGTTGATCTTCAAATAGTTTGCTCCATGTGTGGTGATGTGGGCTTCCCTGACAAGCTCTTCCGCTGCGCCAAGTGCCACCACCGCTTTCAGCACTCGTATGTCCTTCTTCACCCTTCTCAGTTATGTATCTATGCATGTTGAGGAAAATCGTATTAATTAATTAGTAGCTTATACAACTATTGATCTTAACAAGAAGACCAACTAAACGAGACAGATCATTGCTGATATGTTAGTTAATTATTAGTCGAACGATTGAAAAGAGGGATTCTCGTACCAACCCATAGGAAGAAGAACTTCATTAGTTTGGTTCAAATTCTCACTTTCTTCCTCGATTAATCAGTTCAGCCTTTAGACTAGTGTTCGTAGGCTTTTTATTCTGATTTTTTTTCCCTTTGAGAGGCCGGATTCATGTGCCAACTTTATGAAAAAGAACGTACTCCTATTAGTTTGGTCGAACGGTCCAATTTTCTTCCTCGATTAGTCTAATCTTCTCTATCAGGCTAGTCCTTAATTTTATTCGAGAGTTTAATCTCATTTATTTATTTCTTTCTTTGAAAATTACTAGAAATTATATACTTTTAATGCCATCATTAAATTTCTTGCTTTGTGGATCAAGTCTTATTCTTGGGATCAACATGGTCCGCAGCTTGATTTGGTCCCTCATGACTGCCACGCCTTTATAGTCTTTGACTGAATATATATTTTTCTTTTGTTTAATTTTCGTTTTGTTTCTTGGTTGTGGCCAGCCAAACATGACCCTCGTCCACCGCCACTATCACCTACCTCAGGGAACATCCTACACTCATCTCATCCTTATCATCCGGAGATATTCATGATCATAACATGATTACTACTTTAGAAAGAGAAGGAAAAATAAAGAAGAAGAAAGAGCTAGCGGACTCTCATTATTTTACACTTAAAATAATAGACCATGTGTCTATGTGGTTATAGTTTTTTAATCTAGAGGCAGATATAGAATTTAGAGCCACTGAACTTAAGAATTAGTATAATCGCATTATGTGTATATATAATTTAATTTTTTTTTCGTCTGTAAGCATATATAGTTCAAGTCAAAAGAAATAGTTTTCACGGAACTTATCCTAAATCTGCGTATGTTATTTATGATAGGTATTGTAGCAACTACTACAGCGAATCCTCGGAGCCAATACAAGTGTGTGATTGGTGTCAAAGTGAGGAGAAAAGCTCGAGGCATGGTGGTTCCTCAAGGAAATCAATTGCAGGAATTAGTAATTCAGGGATCAAATCGGAATATTCAGGAGACAAAATCAAGCAGAATGATAGGGAAGAAAGTGGTGCTGAAAGGGCAAAGAATCCTAGTGGCACTCCTTCACCTCGGACAGCAACTCGAAGATACAAGCTTCTCAAGGATGTCATGTGTTAAAAGGGGACATTATGAGATTAGTTTAAATTCTGAATACGCACATGTAAATGAAAAGGAGAAGTTGTAGGATCCTAGTGAGTTTTTCAGATATGAGGCTTTGGTTAGGTCATGTTCATATTTCTTCCTATGGATAATCGTAAGTTGTTATGATTTTCTAGTGTTTTTTTCTTTTATTCCTTTTCTTTTTTGGCTGCCAAGAGTTTTTGGCTCTATGCTAAATAAGTTGATAGAATCAGTGGAACTTCATGTACAAATCTGATGATAAATAAGCATGAGTTTTCGTTAGCCTTCCTATTTGCTAGATTGTTCTTTGCCTAAGTCCTTCTTGATGGTTAATTTCCTTTAATTGCACGCATGAAATAAATATATTTCCAATATGCTAACTCTATTACTCCTTTTCTACTCCTAGTTTATATGGTGAGATTGAGAGTACAAGGGTCAAACTACTTAATGTTTAACTTTGTATGATTCAAACATAATCTTCAAATCTTTTGAAATAAAATCTACATATTTAATTAGAGAATAGATAAAAATTAATATAAATCAAAATAGTTAATAATTTATGTACTTAACAAAACTATTTAAGAATAATGTGATCAAAGAACAACTTATGGATTTTTCATACAGTAAAGAACGCCACATTAAGTGAAATAAGAAAATATGGAAAAGTATTTCAACCAAGAAATTTGATCCCCTTTTTAAATCAGAGATCTGCATAGCAGAGCCTAATAAAAGTGTCGGGAGTCATTAAGAGCTAGTGATGGAGGTTTATTCATATGGTGATAGTGGAGGCACACTCTTTTGCTTTCTCAGTTGAGACTCTTGGGGAGAATTGAATGCGCCTTTGATCCCTTTTCACCAAAGAATTCATCGTAGCTAAAGTGTTAGGTTTTTGCCCTGAAGTTTTAATTTATGGAAAATGTCTAAAAATGCCACTCAACTTTCAGAAATGGCCTATCCATGCCATTTGTTAAAAAAATGATCATTTCATGTCACTGTCGTTACACATTTGACTCATCCATGCCATTATTGACTAACGGCTCAATTTTTATTTGGCCCATCCATGCCACTGCCGTTAGTCAATAATGGCATGTATGGGCCAAATGTGTAACGGCAGTGGCATGAAATGAGCATTTTTTTTAACGGATGACATGGATAGACCATTTCTGAAAGTTGAGTTGCATTTTTAGGCCTTTTCCGTTTAATTTATTAGGGCTCTCTTTAATGAAAGAAGGAAAAAAGACTCGTAAAAGGAATAAATCTCTTTCATATTCCTTATCTTTTTCTTGGAGAAGTTTTGTACTTCTATAAATTAACCTTTTCTCCTCACAATAAGAACAACAATAGTAACATCCACAATGTAGTTATTAAATAGTCTTGTTTACAGGAGATTTTTCTCTCAATAATTTTATATTTCTATACTAGCTTTTATATGCAGGTCAATTGACCAAACCCCATTATAATGCACTATTCTTTAGTTATTTTCTTTCTTGTCCGATTTATCGTTCACCAACTTTGCATTATTAGTTTCCACATGTACTATGTTATTTCGATCCCAACAAGTGGTATCAGAGCCAACAGTTCAGTAAAGCTGAAGACAGGTTTAGGGCGGGTTCAAATCAAGTAACAATCAATTTGACGATAATGAAGATTTTCATCCCAAAAAAAAATCAGTTTGAAATACTACATATGGAGACTTTCAACTATATATTTTCAACATTCCTATTGCTGGGTCTTTAAAACCAAAAGTTTTTTTTAACCTGTGGTCACTTTTAATGCACATGGCTCCAATTTTAACTCATACCCGTTTTTAATAATGACAAGCAACAGTGATGAAGAAAGAAGGTGAATCAAAATTCGTCAAGAAAATTTAGGCGAAGGGGAGAATTGTTAGGATTTTGCCCTGAATATTTTTATCTATTAGGACTCTATTTCTTGAAGGAAGGGAAAAAAAACTCCTAAAAAGAATAAATATCTTTCATACGTCTTATCCTTTTGTTGGAAAAGTTTTGTACTTCTATAAATTGACGTTTTCTCCTTGCAACAAGAATAACAACAATAGCATCCATAATGTAGTTTTTAAATAGTCTTGTTTAGGAGAAATTTTTCTCTCAATAATTTTTATATTTTTATACTAATTTTTATATGTAGGTCAATTGACCAAACCCCATTATAATGTCATATTCTTTAGCATATTTTTTACTTGTCTGATTTATTGTCCATCAACTTTACATTGTTAGCTTTTGCATGTATTATGTTGTTTCGATCCCAATATAAAGCTAGTAACTTTCGAGGTGCCATGAGGGTATTTATGAGACCCCTATCAGTTTTTCTTATTAAAGGAAAATATTTAACCAGAATAGATCATCATTATGCATAATAGATTGAGTACATCACAATCCAATAGAGTTACAGGTTTGTTTGACTTAATTGGATTTTATAGGAAGTGGTAGTATAAATTCGTATAAAAATGGTTAAATAGAATTTCTATTACGTGGGGATCATAGGAGAAAGGAAATATATAGTTAGAATCAAACTCATAGTTATTGTACGTGAAAGACTTTTATCGGTATCATTAAATTGTTCGTATTCCGCTATAGTTTAGGTTTAAAAGGGTCCTCTCTCAATTTCAATTTAGATGACACATTTTATTTATCGATAATTAGTTTGACTAAATTTTGAGGCTAAACTAGATTAGTTCAACTCAATATTTCAAAATTGAAATTTGGATATTTACAAATAATACGAAAAGTACTATAAGTTGTAATTTTTCTCATGTCAATATGATCAAATTTTTTTTTAAAATATTACAATTTAACTTTCGATAAGCGAAATGTGTCATATAAATTAAAACGGATGGACTACGTATTTAAACCTCTTCCACTCTCATGTTTTGTCAACAAGGGTTCCTTTTGTTTGAAGTAAATATTGAAGTGACACTGAAGCCATGACTTTCACCTCTAACTAACAAAAATCAGGTGAGTTGGTTGTTGGAGACTTCTTTTTCAATCTACCTTCTCTTTTGTCACTCCTTAGGAACTCTTTCGCTCTCTCTCGACATGAGAACATGGTTTGAAGATGAAGGAAACTCGGTTAGAAGTCACCATATGTATTATGTATATATGAAGTTACAGAGAACTGAGGGGGTTAAGGACTAATTATACGTGCTAGTGGTTTTCAACATCTTTTCACTTTTAGTGTTTTTTTTTGTCAACTATCAATGAGAGATTTCATGTTCGCACACTCCAACAAATTTTTAGCTTTGAATCTTGCAAGTAACACTTTTGTGTACGGTCAAAATCGGACTCATTTATTGCATGACAGATTGGGATGAAAATGTAATGAATTAATAACCGACCTCGGGTTCCATCGAACCAGCTGGATATGAGGTTAGAAAGTCCATCATCGAGATTATCGAGTCCGTAACCCCGGAATCGACCCCGACTCCGATTGAGCTCGAGGAAACATTATCGGACCGGATAATGGAAGGCCAAAATATCTGTAACTGGTTGGATATCACGACGAAAATCTCGGCATATACCAATGAGAAACTGGTTAATTAGCAAATCATGTGATCTTTTACCTTTTATAGAACTGTACCTAAAGTAGGATTCCCCTACTATATAAAGGGATTTTGGTTATTTGTAAAAGACACTGTAACACGCATCCCAAAGCATTTATAATATTATTTTATTTCTGCAAGCTACTGTTCTTATGTATTTGAAATCATTTGAATAGCATTCAGTTCAAGTGAGATCTATTTCTCAAGGCTATATATTGTTCAAGTCATATGGTTTGAATTTACTTTATTACTGTTTTCGTTATTTATAATTCAATCTATCGCTTTGTGTCAAATTAATTCACATATCCTTAAAACCACTTATAAATTTAATTGTTATCCGAATTTGAGGGTAAACAGTTTGGCGCCCACCGTGGTGCTAAGAATAATAGTGGTTATTTGATACAAATTTCCATAACACATACTATTTTACACTTGTTCTTTGAAGTGTATCTGATTTCAGGCTTAAGCTCAAAATGTCAAACTCACAATTAACACCTCTACCTGCTGACAATGAATCTAGTCATCACGGTGAAAACAATAACATAGCGCTAGTAACGAGGTACCGCCCGTTGATCCTATCAGGATTCCAACTGCGGGCCCGTTGGACGCTAATTCGCACGTGGCTATCGACACAAGCCCCCTAGTGACCCTGAGAATAGAATCCGTGGTGGAGACCGGTCAACAACACATAATACAAAAAACAATGGAGGAGACGGGGTCAATCTACAGATGTTCTTCGAAATGTTACAGGCTCAATAGGCGGCAATAGCTTAGTTACAAAACCAGAGTTGCGTATTGAGCAGGACCGAGACCGACCCATCTCAAGAAATCACTCGTAGGGAGTAACCGATCGCGGAAAGGTCATGAATCGGGTAATAACACCGAGATCATAAAAATGCTCGAGGAGCCGACAAAACGAATAGAATTAGGGGAGAAGAAAATCGAAGTAAACGACAAAAAGGCAGAAACCTACAATTCTAAGGTCGACCAAATCACGGGAGCACCGCCAATACTGAAAGGCTTTGATTCCAAGAAGTTTGTACAGAAACCTTTCCCTTCGAGTGTGGCTCGAAGCTAATCCCTAAAAAATTCTGAATGCTCGAGATTTCTAAGTACAACGGAACAACTGACCCAAATGAGCACGTCACTTCATACACATGCGCCATCAAAGGAAATGACTTGGAGGATGATGAGAACGAGTCTGCCTTAGACACTTTGTCAAATGGAGCTATGATATGGTATCACAACTTACCCCCTAATTCTATCGAATCAGTTGCTATGCTTTTAACCTCTTTTGTGAAAGCACACGCTGCGGATATCAAGATCGAAACCAGGAAATCAGACCTCTTCAAAGTGAGGCAAAATGATAATGAAATGCTCAGAGAGTTCGTATCTCGGTTTCAAATGGAACGGATGGACTTGCCGCCAGTCGCTGATGATTGGGTCATTCAAGATTTTACCCAAGGATTCAATGTTCGAAGTTCAGTGGCTTCACAGCAATTGAATCAAAATCTGATAGAATATTGGGCTGTCACTTGGGTAGATGTGCATAATCGATATCAATCAAAGATCAGAGTCGAAGATGATCAACTAGGGGCTCCTTCCGGGTCCATTTATCTTGTTAGACCCATTGACAGAGTCAAGAGAGATACTGATTGTGAACTAGTGGGTCTGGACGGAGTTCTATGCGAAATGAAAAGAGAAATGACTGAGGTTAGAGAAGACGGGGACT